CTGTAAGTTGCTAGATACTAGAATAGGACTGCTATTTTTTTGAGGTGAGATGTTTTATATTCAGTGCATATTCTGCTAAGTGTATATATATATAAATATATTATGTATTACAGAGTCAGGATTTTTTTGATTAGATTCAGAGAATAAAACTTGCTTAATCTTATTTATCTCAAAGCTTTTGCAATATGAAAAGAAAAAAACCAAGAAATTATATCATAGAATTTATGAGTTTAGCTGAATTGAATCCGGAATGTATCATATCTATATTAATTTTTAACAGCCTATTATGGAGGATTTGCGAAGTTTAAAGTAATAAGCTGGGTTTATCCACACCTCCTTAATTTTTATCACTTCAGTGACATTATTAGCTCACTGAAATATCAATTAATCAGGGAATATATATCGTGATGGTTCATTGGCTTTTCTGGTTAATTGTAGGTTAAGGAGAAAATGGTTTGTGCATCAAGACATACTGAAATTGTTACTAAACTTTTTCCTTTCTATGATATAATGTATTCATAATTCAACAAATAAGGTTAAGAGATTGCTCTCCTGTCAGCTAGGTATGATACTGGATTCAGATACTGGATACAGACCCAGAAATCTTTCTGTCCCAAAGTCAGACAGATGGCTCTGCTTTGTGACGCAGGGTGTAGGAGGTCTTCTAGGGCAGCTCATAGTATATGCCTGGGGATACCAACCGAGAGGCCTCTGCTCAGATCATAAACTAAGAAAGGACTTTTCAAAGAAAGAGAAACACCATGCTTGATGAAGCAAAATTGTATTCAGTGATAATTCAGCCTATCTGAAGCTCAGTAAGGAAAACCAAGAATTGGTAAGAGGTAAAAGAAAAAAGTTATCTAATGTGGTCTTTAATGACCACAGGGCTTCCTTGCTTAAGGAAGTGATCTAATCAAATTTGTATCTTTGAGAGACCTCTTAGGTAGCTTTGCAAGTGATTGGTGAGGAAAGGATAAAAACAGGAGGGAGAAGAATCGAGGGATGTGGTGGCAACTTGGCCAAAAGACAAGAGGACCCAGAGTAGCTGGGGATGGAAAGGTAGGAGAGGAGAAATCTCTTATTGATTAGCAGTTTCCAAAGTGTGTCCCAAATCCAGCATCATCTGAAAACCTGATAGGAATGCAAATGATCTGGTGACATCTTAGATGTATTAAGTCAGAGCATGCTGGGGTAGGGACCTGCATCACCAGCTTTTTGGGTAATTCTGATGCATCTTAAAGTCTAGAAACTAGGGCCCTAGATTGGGATATAGGATTTCTAGATGATTGGTATTAGGAGAAAAGGAAATAGGTGTCTTGAGTAATTGGTTACAAACTGAACCACTAATGACTGAGTCACTTCATTAAATGTTTCTTAGGATCTTTACAGAAACCAGGATAATCAGAAGCTTGTATATAATTTAAAAACATATTTAACAATAATCTCCTAGCCTTCTGACACACACATTAATTAGCTCTTGTCCACAGCATTCTACCAATGACTTCCAAATGTTGAGTCCAGTAGTCATCTTTAAATGGCACCATGTGTTTTTAAAAGATGGGGAATGATGGCAGAGGTGATAGATTAAGATGCATTGTACTAATAAATGGACTTGTCCAACTATTTAAAGATAACAGAAAACTTTTTAATAGATAAGGATCAAAACCTCCATGTAATAATCTTTGTAGGTGAATTTGATACATTCTAAAGTTTGAGAACCATGCATCTTATCTCACTACCTTCTTTCCAATCTCCTGAAGGTCCTTTACATTAGCCAAACAAATATGAAACTCGAAGGAAGAGGAACTACTTCTATTAAGGTCAGCCTCCTGGGACAGATAGCCAGGTAGAGAATGATGGAGAAAGCAGCTAGTTACACAAATATAAGCAAGACACTCGGCACAATCCCATTCAGCAAGACACTCGGCACAATCCCATTCTATCTAGTTTTCTGCCATCACACTGCTCAGTTATGTTGGTTTCTTGTTGTCCACTGAGTTCTTCATGAAGGCTACCCGACATACAACTCAACCCTTGAGTCTCATTTCTGTCTATCCTTAGTCTCTTTTTGCTTTACTCTCATTTCCTGACTATAAATACAATCTCCAAATAGCAACAACCTGCCAAAACAGATCTCATCAATGAGTCACAGCTTCTGTATTTGTGAATTTGCCTATGTTTATAGTAGGCTTTGCACAAATCAATAAGCAGTGTCTTTGCAGTCATTCAGAGTCATGTGTAGGGCTTTGACAAATTAGAAACACACATTCTGAGCAAATGTCAATCATTGTATCTTATTTTAGCTTTTGTACTGTACACAAGGGTTGTTAGATGGTGCATTTAGTACTGTTCTATTATATTTCTGTACTTTTTGGTGGTGATTTTGCTAAAGCAAATCACCCTGTTAGCTGCTCAGTGGGGGAAAGTGTGCATTTGATCTTGAATGCTCCCCATGTCTAACAAATGGTGGGTAGATCTGATGAGAAAGAGGAGTAGGTCAGCCATAGGGAAAATAGAAGTAAAGCCTACAGGACTAGAAGAAGAAAAAACAATATGACTTCAACCACAACGAGATTGTGAAATATGAAGAGACTTTGTATTGCATATGTTATCTGAAATGCAAATTGAATGCAACAATGGCATTAACATTTGATTTTTGGACACTAAACCTAACAAACAGTATCTAACAATTCAAAATAATTAGAAAGTCAGATAATTTAGTAAGAAATGAATCTTTCTTAAGTTGCTGTATTCTATATATTAACCTTCATTATGGACTAAGCCCTATCACCTTTAATATGATCTCCTTAAGAGTTTGGGAACACTTCTATGGAAATGACATTTGTTTTTAAAAGATACTGATTGATTTCTACAAGTTAGAAATACAAGTTAATAGCAAGAAAAAGTTTTAAATCAAGCATTTAGCTATATCTCCACTAAGGTCTAACTATTTTATTTGAGACCTTTCAATATGCTATGTTAAATTTTGAAGGCCTGTAGAATCTTTAATTTGATTTTTAAAAACAACAGAATCTGAGCAAATGTCAACAAAATCAGTGAATTAAAATATTCTATCTTTAGCCTATTTGACCAGGCCTATCAATAAACTAGGATTTTAGGTGTGAATAGTAATCTATGAGTTTTAATTTAATATTCTACTAGAGGTCCCTAGGAACATATGAGCCATCTGGACATCTGTTGAGTTATTCTACACACACACACACACACACACACACACACACACACACACACAAATGCACTATTTAAGAAATGAAATAAAACTCACAATAGATTTGCACTAAAATCCTGTTTATGTATAGTTATGTTTTACACAAAACTTAAGTTTTGAAAATTAGCTATTATACACAGAATTACTGCATCTCTCCCCTACATGATTCATGCACACATTAGTGAGTATTTCTCATGGCTAACCTGATTCTTGTCACAGAACACAGATAACTCTACTCCTGTTTCCTGAACTGCTAGGTTCAAATGGCAGTAATTCACTCAATACTTTACTGTTATTATTAACGTCTAACCTTTCTATCTGAGGTATCTTGATGTGCTATGCTAAGTTCTAAAAGCCCATGTAGTAGTTATTCTTTGTTTAAAATATATTAAATGATTTTTAAGTATTTGTCACAGGAATTAGCCTTTAACAAATCAGTTTCTGAACACAATGCATCCTGAATGATGCACCCCATCATCAATGTTCCCAGCCCTCACAACCCAATTCCTTCTCTCAATTTTCTTACTGTCATAAGGAGATGCATTGAGTATTATGACTGCATGCAACCCCTTTCCTCTTTTCATTTGTATACCCCGTCTTTCAAACAGTCATTATTCTTGATCTTTAGAAACAACACAATTTGAGCAAATGTCAATAAAATGCATACATTAAAAATAGTCATTCAGATACATCAATATCTCTAGTAGGATGATAATAATGATTAAACTAAAAGCAACAGCAACATTTCTTGCAGCTAGAAGACCTCTCTTGCGCTCTGTGCTCACTCACAAAAAGGTAAGTCAAACGGTAGAGAGTAAATGTGATCCCATAATAGTCTCCCTGACCTAGTGTTAGCGGGGGGATGGGGGGGTGTCAATCTGGAAGGGAGAGGAGGGAGGAGGGACAAATGGAAATGAGTCTAATGTTGATTTCAGATCCCAAGGAAGGGAGAGCGAGGCAACACTCTGACATGGGCAACATCAGAGGTGAATGTAATTCATTCTAAGTCCTGTGGGAAAAAATACAAAGGCAAAGTCAACAGCAGCAGCAAAATCACAAAACCCAAGTCCTATCTCACCGCATGCCTGCAAGGTGGGAAGAGGCAGAAGCCTGTGACCGGGGATCAGGTGCTCAGCATTCCAGCTCTTAGGAAATGAGGCTCAGAAATCATCAGATCTTGGCATTCTCAAAGACTCGGATGTATCTGTGAAAGTACTTTTATAATATTGTACACCTTTTACAACTACAATTGAGTACTAAAAATAGAGTCATTTTGTTCAAAAGCAATATTTATTTTTCATGAAGATAAGAGACATATTACATTTGCTATAGAAAAAGCCATGAGAGGAAAAGGCTGCATGTTACTGATACGACAAAAAAAAAAAAAAAAACCATAAAAACTTCACTTCTGAAAGTGTTCTTCCCTGTAAGGAGATATTGCATAAAGGCATTATTCCATGTGACTGAGCTGTGCACTAATGTGGATTTAATAGGGTTTGTTTTGAAATGAAATTTGTACAATGGCTTTTTTTATGCCTTTGATGGCAACGAAAACAGATTTATTGGCTACGTGTTAGAAGTATGATAGATAACTGATAACCAAGGGAGAAGTTTTAATAAAACACTCAGAAAAGGAACACAAAAGTGAGTGGATGATGTCTGTTTATATTTCGGCTAATAAATACAAAGTAAAGAGAGGGCTTCAACTGAGAACCATTCTGGTTATTGCAGTCTGGAAGGCTTATTGAAAGTTGAGTAGAACACTAGTTTGTCATAGTTAGAGCTGTGATGTGAGCTGTACAAACCAGTGAGTGACGAGGATGTTCAGGAAACTGATATTTTCACAGGAAACTTACAAGTGGCCAGGAAGGGGAAGAGTGGTTCCTGATTACTAGTGTCTGCCTGGGCTATTTCTGAGTGTGCTCTGTGATTCTAGAGAATTAAAACAATGGAGTATTTAATTTGAACACTCATGCCCTGAGTAAAATCACCAGACACTTTTAGAGAAGCTTTATAAGGTCTATATCAATAAACACAAGTCTCTCATCCCTAAGAGCTGAGAAGAAATAAGCTACTCAAGTATAGTTAGTTTTGGAGGTGAGAACATCAAACCTAGCCATTTAAGTGGTTTGGGGGCCGTTCACCTGGACATCAAAGATTTAACCAGCCCAGGTGTATATATCAGGCAAACAAGCGTGTTGTGGTCAGTAGAATCCTGGACTCACAAAGAAGGCAAAAATGTAGTTCTCAGTAAGCTCCTGGCTCTGTTGGTTTCAGTGTTTCCCCTTACGCTTCTTACTACACAGAATGATGAAGCACTTCCTACTTCAGGAATCAGTCTCTTTACAATAGACATGAAGGAGCCAGAGAGGAAAATTTCCTCTAAATATCAATAATTAATGCAAAGCAGTTTACTAGCAGGAGACCAGGGTCTTGCTTGGGCTTCTACCTTGGAGAGCTGAAAGCACCACAGATTTGAAAAAGAGCCCCCCTGATCTGATTTCACCTGCTTTAGAAACAGGAATTCTGAATGGTGAGTGAGTCTGTGATTAGGGATTTTACATCAATAAAATTTGGTGGTTCTATTACTGCACAGAAGCTTTCAGGCTATAAATAATCCATTGTGGCTTGCCAACAAAAAATGCTATTGTAAGTCCATGTGTACGTACAGAGGAGACAGGAACACAAAGGCAAAAATGCATGAAATTACCAGCACAGTTTAGAAGAGTTTAAACCCATTATTAAATATGGATTCTACCAAATATCTCGTCTAATTTCCAGTTATGTTGATATTTTAATGCTTTATTTTTTGTTTTATTTTTACTGTCCAAAACTTGCAATCAATATCAGTTTAAAAGATATATCCATAATCCCCAGGACATTCTTGAAAGGATTTGCTTTTGTGGAGAAAATTTTGGAAAGCAAAAACTAACATCCACAATTCTGTTCCAACTTATATATCATCTCTTGATGGATCATAATAATGAACCTTCTGAGGTTTCTTTTAGAGATGACTATTAAATGAATTAGGATGCATAGAAAGAAAACTTAAATGACTTTAAAACTCTTATCATGTTATTGTGGCACCATTTTAGAGACAGGCAATTGTGGTCCATGCTGGTAGGTATGTAGTGTATCTTATGGGAAAAATGGTTGTATATTTACCTTTTCCCAGAAACCATGCTTTTCCTTTCTTATAATTAAGGCATATATATATATATATATATAAGAAAAGCTCATCTTTTGATTCCTTATGTGCAAGATACTCTCTTTAAGAGATCAAGAACAAAAATGCAGTTTGAAAATTTACCTTCTGAATTTCCTTAAGATTAGTTTGGTGTATTTAACACATCCCTTATTTTGGCAAATTATCAAGGATGTAAATAATTCGACTATATGGTCATACATACTAAATAAACCATTTGATCTATTTACACGCAGGCATGGATATATAGTGGTATTGCATATACTTATATATCCTCATATACTATCATTAAATGCAACGCTATATTCTTGGATACAGACATTAATACACCTTTCTACTTGCCATGGCACTAACAAAGCTAGGTTGCCTTGGCAACCACTTGTATTTCATTGCATTGCAGACAGCTAGCAAGTTTGGCTGTTGGGGGAAAAGGGGTCCCTTTACCACATCCTCTTCAAACTAAAGTTTCTTCCATGCTTAACGTAAGGATGTTGTTTCTTTTATCGAGGCGGTCTTGAGCTGCAGATGCAATCACATCGTTCATGGTGATCCAACTGGATGTCCACCAGAGCCATGTTCTTAGCTCTGCCCCTCCTCTTGAAAAGGCCAGGCTCAAACCTCAAAACCTAAGACAAGAAGTAGAATTCCTGTTAGAAAACTCTTGGAATGTAATTCAGTTAGATGACATCTAGTCATCCCTTCCCTGATAACTGTTTCTTAACCCTTTGATAAACTCTGGTATCTCCGCTTGATTTTCACTAAGTGCTGTTCTACATATATTATTCCTCTTCTGATCAAAGCATGGGTTTAGAAAGCACATTATCGCCTTAGACAAGGCAATTTTATCAGTATGAACTCAGCAAACTGGATCATGGTAAAGAATTTTGCCCTGAGAGGTCTTTAGTGGCCATAAATAAATGACAATATATTCCTGTTCTTGTTTGCCTGTGAAGGCATATAATACCTTTGGCAATTCGAAAGAGATCAAGCTTCATTAAAATCTTTGCTCATAATAACTCTGTGTCAACACACCATTTCTTTGGTCAGTAAATATATCCTTAATTTTTTACTTAGTTTACCAACATCATTTCTTAAATTTAAAGTACTGAGAGCAGTGTGACATTTGATTCTTCTGGCTCCTCTATTCTCTCCTGCTGCCCACCTATAGAAAACAATAACGGGTATTTTTCAATGAAGACCTAAGTAACCAACTCACTAAATAAACAATGTATTGCAATTAGGGATTTCAAATAACCTTGCTCATGGCAGATATAACATCCCTACTCTACCACATTTGCTATGAGTGTTTTAGAAAAGATAGGGAGTGGATTCCCTACCTAAAGCTTTGCTAAGAAATTTTCCAAAAATAAATTAGCCACTATTGTCCAAAGCAACCTGCATGTAACCAGATTTAGGTGATGGAGGATGCAAGAAAGGAGAATGATTTCTAAGAAGCTGAGCATGTGATAAATCTGCTTTGTTTAAATAAGTCCATCATCAAGGCCTAGCCATTTTCATGACTGGCATCTGTAAAATCAGCACTCAGTGGATTTGCTTTCACATTTGACGGCAAACAAAAGCGAGTGCTTTGGGGGTGAAAGCAAAAGCCTGAGCAGGTTTTTGTAACCGGCTTGATTGTTCAGGGATTTTCCCTATGTTTTATATTAAGCAACGTGAGCACAGTATATATGTGTTTTGCTGATAAGAAGAGAAAAATGAATTCGCAGACACTTTTCCCAGACAAGACAGGAAAGCACTATTTGGACGAAGTGGAAATTGGACTGCTTTGCTGGTTGATCACAGCACTGATGTTCAAAGCTTTCAGACCATGTAATAGTCTTAGGTTCAGGTACACAGCATTGAAAAGAGGAAGAAAGCAGGGCTGGTTTGAGGGAGCATGGAAAGTTAAAAGAAAAATGAAAAGCTTTTCATCAGAGGAAGCAAACTAGTGGTTTATGGGTTATCTGGTCAGCTTTAAAGGGAAGGAACCATTGAATTAATTATAACAGCTGAAGGAAACTTGCTAATATGTACCATCAAAAAATCCTTGCTTATTTGCCAAGCTATGATTCACAGCTGCAAATACACATGGAAAGATAAAAGCACTGAGGGGCAGTCAGCCAATTCTTAGCACCTATGGGTGAAAATGGAATTCACTCCCCACCCTGGAAAAGTCATGTAAAGCTAGGCAAAGTTGACCTCTATTACAGGGAGTGACTGGGCCACTGGTGTCTTTTATACACACCACTGTACAAAACCAGAGATGCTCAGTTTTGCAAATTACCATATCACCAAAGATATTTAACTACAGTTACTTGCCTTGTTGCCAATAAACCACTGAATGAATCATTGACATAAGCTGTTATACTAATAAAACAATACCAAGCAGAAAAGCTATCTGCTGAGTTGGGCTCTTGTTTATTGGGAATATAAAAAAGGTTGTTAAGGCCTTGTAACAGTTTCCAAATTAATGGCTGACATAGGAACACAAGCAGGCATTTCAGGGAAAACGCACTGTATAAACCTGAATCACTACGTGTTTATTTAAGATGCTGTCCAAACTCTAAAACAGGCGGCATTCATTACATACACATAAAAAAAAGAAACATGATTCTTAGTTTTGCTTCTATTCTGATTTCTCTCATGTGCAAAAAAAGAGAAATCCCTAAACAGAGTCAAGATTTTTAAGCGATGGTTACTGCAAGTAAACGCATTTGGAGAAGGGATAACCTGTTATCTCCCTGGGTAACAACCCAGCCTGCAGGTGGCAGTCTAAACAGAGGCTGAGCTCTGTGAGCCAATGGGAGTCTTAAGATACAACACTCAATAAAGTAGCTACTAGTCTTGCGTGGGAATGTCCATCCCCATTGGTTGAAATTAAATAAAATGAAAAGGTTCAGTTTTTCCTTGCATCATGTATATTTCCCTCAATCCATAGTCACAGGTTGCTAACAAATGCCAATCGAGACAGTGCAGGTAGGCAGCATTCATTCTGTTACTGCAAGAAGTTCCACTGGATGATGCAGGTGGCTAAAACGTTGTGACAAAATTCCTGGAAGGAAGGCCAGGGAAGATTCACTCCTATCATTCTCTCTCTGCTGCCTCCTAATGGGTTAACTGTTAACTAAGACTATGTCTGTAGCCTGGGGACTAAAGGAAAAATAGATATTATGTTAAAAGGTTACCATACTTCTAGGGGATATCCATTTCCCTGTCCACTATGCATTGCCAAGGGAAGACGAGACCCAAACTAATAGTACCCATGAATAGTCTACACAATACATTTTCTGAAGCCTGTCTAAAAAAACAACCATAAACCAAAGAATCTTTCAGAACGGTAGAAGCTGCTCCATAGATTTCTCTTGCCATCTATCAATCACCCTTCTCCTCCAAGGTTGTAGGATTTTCTCACTTTCCCCTGAAGCAGGATAAACTAGACTTCCTATGATGGTGCCCTGCCTGTGCCCTAGTGTCTTGGAGGATCCTGGGACAGGAGAGCCGGCTGAACACACAAGGGCCTTGTGGTATTTCTCCTGACTTAGCTGGAGCTCACACTCTGCCTGCTCATATTTCTATCTACCATCATCAAAGCCACTACAGAGAAAACACTCAGGATGAACTTCATTTCCCAAGGAAAGGTCTTGTGCCACAGAAAGTGTATAAACAAACTCAGACTTTTCTCTTAGTCGTCTGACTTTTGTTATGGGGGCCTCAGATATTTTACTTCGATAGAACAATGGTTGAAAATAGGTTAAGAGGGAACTTACAACCTTTTGAGAGCAAGAAATAATAATGCATAGTGCTACTGCATTATTGTGTCAGTCGCTGGCAGAAGATGCCTGACCTGTGGAAGAGCAGGGTGTTAGCTTCATTAGGAGTGCTCTGATTTGCCAGCTTTTAGTTCCCTCCCCTCACAGAGAAATATGTGTGGCGAAGCACGCAGGCTTGTTATGCGACAAGTTCTTGTTATTCCCTTAAGGGTGTCATCTCTCCTAGAAACTCATTTCACATATCATCAACTGCAACCCGGGGGCTGGAAAGCTGCTTTTTCATCTTTCAGAGGTAAGGAGACAGAAATAGGAAGAAGAGAATAAAGCACTAGAATTTTTTTCCTTGTGAGATTAAGCTCAAGCAACACCCCCGATGCTAGAGATGGGCTAACCCTTCTGCTGTATCCATGGAGGGGGTTGGTGTCAGCGGACAGTGATAAGTTGACACATTTCAAGGGAGTTTCAGGAGTCTAGGGAACTCTGGCTGGAGTGCTTGTGGCAGGTGTGCAATGACTGACTAAGTGATCCATGCTGCTCTGTCTTGTGTCTGGCATTCGGCAGAATGATTTTGTATAAAGCTTCGCATAGGCCTAAGAGTAAAAACATTATGAGCACATGTTTTAAAGAGATGCTTTAGGGTGCACTTTCCAGAGGATGGCAACATTTTATACCACTCATGACTGAACAAAGAAACAAAAGATTTTTTTCCTCTAGATACTAATTATGAACAGAAACCTATTGTGTACAGAGACAAGAAAGGAGCTTAGAGAAGGAAGGTGGTTGGGTCCTTCAACCTTCATCAGAGGTAACTGGGAAACTGGGAGGCAAGCATCTTTTGGGGCATAGGATGAACTTTTCTCTTTCTACTATAAGGAATTTAAAAACATGCTGAAACTTCTGTCTGAGCACAGAGTCAAGATAAAAATAAAACACTCCACAAATACATCAAAGGCTCGAGCTTGGAGGTCGTTCCCCAGTTATTACTGGGTTGAGATCTTGTCACTTCCTGATTATTTCATTCTGCGTTTATCCTTGGAGTACCCGTTCAACATGACAAAACTGAGGTTCTTCCAATCTAGAGTTCATCAGTTCATGCAAAAATAAAACACAATGAACACAGATGATAGCATTCTCTAGATATGGAAACAGCTTTCTTCCTTTGAAAACAGTGGGCCAGTGTAAGCAATTCTTATGAAAAGAAAATAACATTTCAGGGAGGTTTGAAGACTATGCCCCCATCTAAGGTGGGCCTGGAATTTGTGTCATGACCTTCTGCATTTTCCAGATTGAAAACATCAGTTCTGATGGACCATTTTTGTATAGCCCCCAAGTTACCTCTTACTAATGTATTGTTTTCAGGAATAAAAGAGACATTTTTGTCTCTTTTTAGGTTTTTGCCATAATCCAAAAGCCTTTCCCAAAGGTCAGTTTTACAGAAGTGGAGGACTTAATTTAGAACGATCTGACTTCTCCTTTGTTCTACTTGGTCTTGATGGAAAAGCAACTTGAACAATAGTTCCTAATAATAATGTCTGCTTCAAGTTATAACATACATTTTAAAAGATATTTCTATATATGACATTCCTTACAAGGCACACTTCATTGGGATTATTCTGTGTGATGATATTCAGGGCATCCCTGGAAGGGGTTACCTGGTATAATACCTTAGCCTCGTTTGGTATATTTGAAAACTGAGTCTCTAACATGAGTTGCTAACAAAAAAATGAGTTGCTACTTCCTACAATCAGCAAGGAATGGCAATGTCAGGAGCAGCGCCAACTCCTCTAAATCCTGTACTGTCTTAGATGCTCAGTAAGTTGGTATATATGTCAACAGAAAGAGCATAGGATGTCTAGGGATTAGAACACAGATTCTGGAAGGAGCAGCAGCAACTTCAGGCCCTGGCTCTGTAATGTACTGACAATGTCTTGCTGTCACCTTGTTGATTGTTCCAGGAACTAATCGACTCATCTACAGAGAGAAGCAGAAGAGTAAGCTAAGAGCACTGCTAAGTGAGCTAATGGTACTTACCGTACAGTGTAGCACCTAGTAAACACTCACACAAAGTCTGCTTTCTTTATTCTTCAAGGCTGTTCTTAAGTTTTGTCCCTCAACTTTTATATGTATTTTATTCATTTTTTGATAACACCGGAGCTAATTATTCAGGTAGCATTATTTAGGAAAAGTAAATTCCAAAAACCCAAATGAAAACAAACAAAAATCTACCTACACATTTTAGAGAATATTTAAAGGTCTCTGACAGTTTTGATTCTGATATCTTTACTATGTTTACTTTTAAAAAATGATTTCAGTGAATTAAAATTTGGCCCTTAATAACATCTTAAAGTAATATAAACTTGCACTCATAAATCCTATTGCTGGGTACTGGTGGCTCATACTTATAATCCTAGCTACTCAGAAGGCTGAGATGTGAGGATTGTGGCTCAGTTCAAAGCCAGCCCAGGCAGGAAAGTCCCTGAGACTCTTATCTCCAATTAAACACACACACACACACACACACACACACACACACACACACACACACACACACACACACACACACACACACACTTTCTATAAAGAGGTCAACTAAACTAAAAAACTATTGTATCGTTCATGAGGTTCTATATTGTAATAAAACTCTTGTCTCATGTGGTATACTGTGAGGATGAAAACAAGGAGCTCTTTCTTCAGGATGGAATTACCCTTTCCCCAGGACATTGAGCTTGGGGAGAGTTCTAGTCTCCCAGTCACCCCCCCCTGGTTGGATGTCCTCGTGATATGGATGACCTCTTCTACAGACTTTGACATAGACAGTCGAGCTGCCCGCTCAGGAGGGCTGACTGCAGCCCTGGGACACAGGATCCCCGGGCGACGTACCTCATGATACTTCTTCACCGTCTTCCCTGAATTGCATGTGCAGGATTTCCAGTTATTGGCGCCCGTTCCACAGCCACAGTTTCCTCCGCAGCGCTGCACGAGCAGGCAGCGTGGGAAGAAGACCACGCTGGACAGCTTCAGCTCCTCTCTGAGGTTGACGGAGTAATTCCTGGGGGTGCAGCTGTAACGCTTGACGTCATCGTTGAGTCTGTCCAGGTCCACTGTGGACAAATGCACACATAGCTGTGTAAGCAGATGCAAGTGTGAGCAGAGATGCCCAGCATGTGACCTCTGGGATGCAGTGGGAAGAGTTTGTTGGGACAAACTCAGCCCAAGAGTTATAATCTGGCATCTTGTGACGGGGCCCCAAAGGTGGGAAACCTAATTTCTCTTTAAATCCTACCTGCCCTTCAAAAATAACAATAACAATCTTTGGTTAAAATTAGTGTCTTTGCTTAAATTTCCTGGTACCTATTTTTATTTTTCCATGGGGGGAAAATGACTTTAGACAGGAAATGGAAACATTTGGTAATGTAAAATAATTGTCTTTTATCTTAAAATATCACACAAATTGCTGCTTGGTTTTAAATTAATTCTGAATCTAAGCCATTACTGAAGTACAACTTGGATTATATCAGAGCTAAATTAGAGACAATCGCTCTAATGAACATACTTGACAATGGGATTTGGTTTTTTGAACTCAGGGCTTGGGCGTTGTCCTGAGCTCTTTTGCTCAGGCCTAGGGCTCTACCACTTTTAGCCACAGTTTCACTTATAGGTTTTGAGTAGTTAATTGGAGATCAGAGTCTCACAGGGACTTTTAATGTCTAGGCTGGCTTCGAACTGCAATCCTCAGATCTCAGCCTCCTGAGTAGCTAGGATTACTACAGGCATGAGCCACCAGCACTCAGTGACAATGGTAAATATGAAGAAGGCAAAAGTGTTAGTTTCATTTAACTCCAAAGGCCACCAAAGTCTTACCGGAAATGGCAGTGCTGTGAGCACGGTGCACATTAGTGTGTCAGGTCCTAGGTAGCCGTGCTTCACGGTGGCTAGGTGCTTGAACTCTGCTGAAAGCTATATCTTTCTCATCATGGCTCTGTCTGTCTACTTTCAGCTGCAAAGTTATTTAACAGCTCTGACCCTCTGTGTCCTCATGTATAACATAAATATTTGAAGTGTTGAAACAAGTGTGTGTGGAACTCAATTAATGCTGGTTACTTTCACTCATCTTGACTCTTGGGTCCCTCCACCTTCGTTTTCTTTCCTTTTAATTGTTAATCTATAGTTAGTTCTTTTCTCTTTTGGCTATGTCTTACATAAAAGATTATCAAGGAATGTGGTTAATGAGACTATTATGAGTTAAGGATGTTCTACTCAAACGGCAGAGCTAACACGAATATGCTTGAGTGAAATTTGTATTGTTGTTATATAAATTATGTTTTAAAATAACGTTATCAAATCTACCCAACCATCAATCTATTTGGCCTGGAAAGCCACCGACTGGTGCCCACTCACAGGACTATGTTCTCACTAGACTGCAGTTACAAGAAAGCCCGTGGCCGGCACAGGTTTTGCCACCAAGTAATTCTCGCCATACCAATCTCGGCCACTCCAGGAGGACTACCACAGATACCAGGTAATTATGATCACATTTACTCTGGCCCCAGTAAGTGCCTTAGTCTTAAACCAAAGCTTCTTCAGGAGCAGGAAGGCGTGGACTCTGTTGACACCGGTCAAAGGCCAAAAATCCTGTCAGTAAAATGCACGGAGAAAAAAATGGAAGGGAAAGGCACAAGTGTGGTCTGAGTCCATTAAGCTCTGATAATAAGAAAATACCATTGAGAGTAAGAAAGAGAACGACCAGGGGGCCAGGTGACCCCTGCAGCAGAGCATCCACTCAATAGCAGCAGTTCCAGGCGCCACTTCCCAACTGTGGTTGTGTTTTGATTCTCAAGGGCAGGGGTTTGTCCCTATCTGTTATATGCTGAGCCCAGGACGCTGAACAGACTGAGTAAATGCTAAATAATCACTGTGCATAATTTATTGCTGTTTTTTTCTTCCTTTGTCAAGGCACGTCATAAGTTTAGCTACAATCAATCCAGATTTAAATTGAATGAACTCTGTCTTGGGAAAGGAACCATTTTATTGCTGCTAAAGCTCTGGAAAATAACTGCAAGCCAAGCAGGAAGGATTACATAAATGGATTAAGAAGTGCAGCCGTCATCTATTACAAGTGTCACCTTGAGATAAATACTGATGCTGGCCTGTGCATTACTGGGCTGGTGGACAGGGCTGATGCAGCAGGCCAAATCTGCTGCTTGTGATAATGAGAATGCATTTGTTTAACTCGGGGGTGTAAAGAGGTACAATTAGCAAGAAAGGACAATGGTGCATGCATGTGGAGGCAGAGGGACCAGAAGGAAGTACCAGTAGTAAGTTTCTGCTTCTGGTCGGTCCTCTGCTAGGCATTTTCATTTGTGACTACAGTTGGTTGTTCCTCAACCTTTTAAGAGACTAACCCAGAAGACGAGTAAATAGCAAAACAAGGATTAAAGTCTTTCCCCCTCCATCAAACAGAACGGAGGGGTGGTGGGTCTCCCACTGCACCAATATCACCCAGTGCCGTTGGCTTTGCTACAGGGTGTTAAACTGAAGCTAAATGTTGAATGTCTGCCTCCTTATCTTCAGGATGTATCCCAGCCAAATTATAATATGTCTTTCCTACAGGAACCAAGTTAAACTACCAAGTCCCCCAACAAACCAAACAAGGCAAACATGACTAGTCTCCTTGAAACCAAGCTCCTCACACTGTGTAACTGTCTTACTGACAAGCTCTGGTTACTTCTACTTCTTAGCCCCGACAAAGAGATTCACAATGCTGTCAGTTTTCTGCATCGATTCACTAGGGGGATGAAGGATGCCTGTGGATTCCAGCTGCCCTGCTGATCAGGGGATTGAAACCACCAAGGTACCCAACTTAGAACTTGAACTAAAAGGTTCCTCAGACTGGATGCAAATGAATTCAAAGCACGAGTGCAGATGTTCTGCAAGGGCCTTTGAATTTCCAGTCAGAGAAGAATGACTAGACAGCTCAGCAGAGCGGGGAGCCAGACAGGGGGCTGAGCAGCAATTAAGGCTTCCGGTGTTGCTCCGGTTGGAAGGTCTCTGTCTGGTGTGAGGCTTTGGGGAGGGAGGCAGCCACGTCCAGGGAGAAAGGCTGCACTTTACATCCCTGCTTCAGTCTCCGTGGCTGAGCATTACAGACCAGAAAAGGGTGTTCCAAGTTTGACTCAAAGGCCCATTAATTTCATTTCATTTCCCTTCATCACACCCAGGTGGACAGAACATTATAGTACACTATCATCTTCGCTGTCCTTTTGGATTTAAGTCTCGTTTCTTTTCCTAGACCTTTGGTTGTATGGAGAATGTTCTGTGGAGAAACCACTTCTTCTGGTCACAATGGTCCAGGGTGAGTTGGCACACCGTGCACAGGAAACATCATTTCTTCTGTGGCTCCACCCCTGGCATGCAAGCCCAACCTCAGGCTGTTTGGTCTGTGCTAGGAATTCTGGGATTGAAGAACCAGGGATCTGAGTTTTTAAAAATCTAGGATGAGAGCACAGGGCGGGGACCTGAGTGGGCACCCTGGCTCACTTTCTAATAGTTTAGGTCTTAGGTTCTGGGAGGGACAGTCAGCTTGGTCTTCTTGATCCTCTCTATGAGATTACCAGAACTGGAACAGTGGAAAGTTCTTCTCCTATAAGACTGCATGAAATCTCATAAGTGCTATGAGCTGCCCTGACTTTTACACTGGCCTTTGAGAAGTTTAGGGAAAAACTGGTCCACAGCTTCTCACTCACTAATCTGTACAGTTCTTGGTAGCAGTGCAGTCTTAATCATCTTTATCTCTCCTTACATAGTACCTAACCGCCCCTCCTCCCAATAGAGGGCTGAATGAAACTTAAGATCCTTTCTATTGGGGCTGGGAAGGTGGCTCAGTGGTAGAGCGCTTGCCTCGCATGCTCGAGGCCCTGGGTTCGATTCCTCAGCACCACATAAGCAAAAAGAAAAAAGCCGGAAGTGGCACTGTGGCTCAAGTGGTAGAGCACTAGTCTTGAGCTGAAGAGCTGAGGGACAGCGCCCAGGCCCAGAATTCAGGCCCCACGACCGGGCCCCCCCCAAAAAAAGATCCTTTCTACTAAAACCATTGGTTTTTAATAATTAGAGGCAGATGTTGCCAAAAATAAAGACAGATCTGTGTCCGATTTCTTTGAAAGGAGTAAGAATTCAACCTGATTGCATCAAAGAAAATGACCAATTTTTCAGTTTAGGTTTTCACAGCATAAGGAGGGAGAAGTAATTCTGAATAGTATTCAGAATGTGCTCTTATCTCCAGCCTTCCCTGGGGTATAGTGTAGAACAAAAATGATAACAGAAGTACAAGTTGTCATGTCCAAAATGAGCTTTACAACGTCGGTGCGGGGGGGGGGGGGGAAGGGGGGTAAGGAGAAGGATTGGGATTGGGGGGGAGGGGGGAGGCTGGGAAGGGATGTGAAGGGTAAACCAAAGGAGGAGGCTGCAATGCTTGGTAAGAAATGTACGCATTATCCTGCCCATGTAATTGTAACCCCTCTGTACAGTATGTTCACAAATAAAATAAAATTAAATTAAAAAAAAGAAATGTACTAATTACCTTGCTCATGTAATTGCAAACCTTCTGTACAGTATTTTCAAAATAAATAAATAAAAAAATGGTAACAGTGGGAAACTCGGGTTCTAGAACCAGCTCTATCAAAGATGGACTATGGTTCACAAAGATGACCGGCATGAAGACCCCGGGGAGCTAGAAGAGGGCCTTGGAGTGGGCGGCCTGACTTCAAGAAGGCCGCGTCTCACATAGGTATCTCAGGGTATGAGGGGAAGTGTCCTGGTCATCTGGGGAACTTGGCCCCATAATCTGTGATGGAAGTGCTAAGTACTGCAGTGTGAAATACTAGATTTATGACACTTGAAGGGGTGGGAGGTGAGGAATTTATGAATGATTGTATTTTTATACCAAGCTACTAGGGGATCTCTGATGTTTTCAAGGTTCATAAATTTCCAGGAAGAGTCTGTTCATCTTTGTGGGCTTTATAATCTCAGTGTGATTTTTTTAGGTCCCTTCTTCTCTAAATCCCAGAGAAAATATTTCTGCAATTCAACTTCAATTTGGAGGTTC